CGTCCTCGTGATGAAGAAGAATGGTACCGATGTCCGCTTGTGCATCGACTACCGGTTGATGAACCAGCTGTTTAAGTTGATGAACTACCCCCTACCCTGATCGACGAGCACATGAGCAATTTCGCCGCCACCATGTGGTTCATGACATTGGACATGGCGAGTGGATTCTGGGCAGTCCCGATGACGGCCCGGGCCCAGCTGATCTCAGCATTCATTTGCCCGCTAGGACACTTCCAGTGGAAGCGCATGCCGTTCGGACTCAAGAATGCTCCGTTGATTTACCAGCAACTCCTGGACAACTGTCTCTGGGGCTTCGTCCGGCTACCCCCGGAAGAGGAACGACTCGTCGACCCAGAGGTGTTAGAGTTCCTTGGAATTTCTCCCGAAGACCTGGGCGCCCAGGAATCCCAGGGCACGGAGCCCCGGGGGGGCGGCGGTGGTCTCCAGGACTAGCACCGACACCGTATTCCACCAGAACCGGGTTGCCCTGGAACAGATGGGGCCTGTGCTGTCCCGGAGTTCGTACATCGATGACATCATCTACGGAGCTCCGTCCTGGGATGACCTGTGCAAGACGCTGAATGCCCTCCTGTACCGACTGCGGTACTGGAACATCTCAGTGAGCCTCCCGAAGAGCGAATTTGGAGTCAAGAAGTGCAAGTACCTCGGGCACGACATCAGCTAATTCGGACATTCCCGAAACTGAGAAAAGGTCCTCAACTTGCCTTTCCTGAAGACCCAGAAGGGGGTACAGTCCTTCCTCGGGAGCCTCAACTACTACGCTAAGTCCATCGAGGACCTACCCGTCCTCGCAGCCACTCTATACGAAATATCGGACGAACAACTCCGTTCCGGGCGAGATTTGCAAGATTTGGAGAAGCCTAAGCATGCGTTCAAGATACTCAAGGACCGACTAGTGTCGACACCACTACTCCAGCACCCTGACCCCGGGAGGCAGTACGTAATCATATTGCACGCCAACCCCCTGGGCAATCAGTGCGGTTCTGGGGCAAGACCACGACGGCACCATACTACCCGTGCGGTTCGTAGGACGGGTGCTCCAAGACGCCGAACTCAGGTACCACCCCGCCGAGAAAGAAGTATTAGCGCTGCTCCGAGTCCTGAACACATGTCCACTATGATTACGAGCTGTTCCGAGAAGAAAATTCGCGTGTATACCCGGTACTCGGTGCTGGCGTGGTTGTTCAAGTCCAAGACGGTAGATGGGAGGTGCCTCAAGTGGGCGGTCAACCCCATGGGACCTGGACATCCGGCGGGTCGAGAACGACGAAGACGGCTTGGC